GGTTGGCAGGCCAGTACTCAGTCCACTGAGCCACACTGGCCAGGGCAGCAGTTCTATTTTTATTTTTAAGACATTAATCAAGTTATATCTTTTCCTTGCACAAAACACCTCACTGCCGTCCAAATTGTGACCTCTAAGGCCTCATGGGATGTGTCGTTGTCTCCCTCTTCAACCTCCAATGGCTGTGCTGCAGCCCAGGGGTCCCTTTCTGTCTCTCCTGCGTGCTAAGCTGGTTTTCGTCTCAGGCCTTCACACGCCTGATCCCGTCGTATCCCAGTTCAGATGCCACCTCCTTGGAGAGACCTTCCTAGAGCTGCCTGTGTAAATGAGTTCTGTCTCCCTGACTCTTTATCACAGCATTCTTCGGCGTGAGTGCCACTTCTGACATTTTCCTGCTTCTTTATTTACATAGGTATTGTAAGAAATGTGCCAGTTTTGTCCCTATTCTCCAACAAGACTAGCACATGGCACATTATAAGTGCCCAGTCAATTTTTCTTTGATTGAATAAGTGCATACTCTGCCTCCAAAATTATTTCTTTTCTTACTCTACCTTCACTTCACCAAAATGAGCCTCTCCTTCAGAGCATGGATCTCATTTGGAAGGTGACAGAAAGGCCGCCACAAATATTCGCCGAATGATTGAAGCTAAAATGAATTACACCGACAAAGAATGCCAGCCTCATAAGGCTGGGCTATTCCCAGGAGTATCAGCATTCTCAAACAGGAAGCTTGAATTTCAGGCATTGTTGACAAAGAGAGGAATTTCGAGCCCGCCTGAGTTGAAGTGATATATTTGGACATAGCTGCTGTTCCATAGCTTCTTAAATACACAAGTATTTATTAAGACCCTTTGGGACTCCTTTGAAACCAGAGTCGACACTAAAATGTAAAACAGTGATTGAAAAGCATTGTTTATTTCTAAGGGAAGAATCGTGGATGGGGAATCAGAGGGCGGGGCTTCAATCCGGGAGGTGCCACTGATTACCACGGCGCCTTGGACAGGTTGCTGAGGACAACCAGCATTTACCAGCCTTTGTTGTGTGCCCGGCCCTGAGCTAGGCACTTCACTCACACATTATTTTTGCAACTCCTCCAAGTGGCTTTTTTTTGAAATTTAATTTTATTATTATTATTTTAATCCTTGCCAGAGCACGTGCTCAATGATTTTAGAGAGATGGAATGGGAGGGAGAATGAGAGGACGAGAAACATCAACCGGCTGCCTTCCATACTCACCCTGACCAGGACAGAACCCACAACTTACGCATGTGACCCGACCAGAAATCGAACGCATGGCCTTCCAGTTTGTGGGACGATGCCCAGTCGAGCCACACGGGCCAGGGCCCAAGTGGCTATTTTTATTATCTGTAGTTTATACACAGGGAGATGGGTTCAGGAAGGTCAGGCACCACGCATGAGGGCGCTCACTGATACGCAGTGCAGGCTGGACTTGGACCCAGGTTTCAGTCGGCCTGCTCTCCGTTTCCACCCCCTGCGTCCTGACACAGCACCACAGGCCTTCTGCGAGTCTACTAACCAGGGGCAGGAGAAGAAACTCTTTGGCTCTAAGGATTTTCTCTCTAAGATTCCTTTCATAAGATTACTATACCTTTTCTGGATTTGGGAAGGGGAGATAATAAGTCTCGCACTGATAGTTAACTCATTTGGGAATGTAGCTTGGCGGTTAAAGGTTTGGAGGTAGGCTTCCTGAGTCCACATCCTGCCTTTACCACTCACCTTCATCATCTACAACATGGGTAGAATCAGAGCACCTACCTCCTGGGTTGTGATGAGGGGTATCTGAGACGATGCCTGTAAAGTGTGTGGCCCAGTGGGACATGCTTAGGGAGCTGGCCAATTTTGAGAAGTGGCTGCAGGTCCAGAGGCTTCCCGAGTCAGTGTGGCAGCCAAGTGGATGCCCAGGGGAGCTGCGACACACCACACCACGGAGTCCTCCCGTCAACGGCAGGGGCAGGAGGAGAGAGCAGCTGATGGGCGGGAAGCTCAGAGCCCACAGGAAACATTAGCAAGAGAAACAAATTATGTTCAGAAAAGCCCAGCCCTGTGTGAGGGCTGGAGGCTTGACGCTTGAAAGCAGGAAAGGGAGCCCTATGAAGAGTTCACAGTAACTCAGTGCTCTACAGTTATTTTTGACATCTGTACTATTTTCGCTGATTACCAAAGTAGTGCATTGGTACTTTACAGAGCTTTACACAATACACATAGCAAAAGAGACCCCTACCCAAGTTTTAAAAAATATGTTTACTCATGTTTAAAACAGATACAAAACCGCACAGGTCATACTCAATGTGTTTTCTCAAAGAGAACACACCAGCTGGCCAGCCCCCAGATTGTGCACCAGCACCTATGTTGTGGAACGTAATGTTACCGGGACAACTAAGTCTCCCTGTCTTCTCCCTCCAGTCATTACCAGTCCTGACAGGAATCCCCTCCTGATTTCTTTCCCCCGAGATTAGTTTTATCCGTTGTTAATTTTATCTTATTTATTGATTGATTTTAGAGAGAGAAAGGAAGGAATGGAGAGAGAGAAACATCAATTTGTTGTTCCACTTATTTACACATTCATTGGTTTATTCTTGCATGTGCCCTGACCGGGGACTGACGTGCAACCTTGGTGCGTCAGGACGATGCTCTCTCCAACTGAGAGGGCCAGCCAGGGCCTGCCTGCTGTTAAATTTTCAATAAATAGAATGGTCCAGAATGTACCCTTTTGTGTCTGGCTTCTCTCACTCAGCATTATGCTGTGAGATTCATCCATGCTGCTCTTTAGTATTTTATTACATAGTTGCATACAATTTATTCATTCGTTTCATCATCAAACACTAGTGGGTATTTGGGTAGTTCCCAGTTTTCAGTTATTGTGAATGATCCTGAAATCACCCTTGTGCAGATCTTTTGGTGAACACATGCACTCACCTCTCTTGTGTATATCCCTAGGAATGGAATTGCTGGGGTATAGCATGCATACAATATTCAGCTGTGGTAGTTACTGCTGCCCAAAGTTTTAAAGGGATACTTGATGTACATACAAGAGCTTCGTGTGGGCTCCAAGAGAAACTTCAGTGTCAAAGCTCTCTGAGAGAAGAGGATGAGGAGGGGACAGTCCAGTTGCACTTGTCCAATGGCTTCCCAATAGGTCTCTCTGTCTCCCAACCACCCAAGACACCATGGCTACATGACTTGCCCCAAATTCCACTTTCATCTTGTCACTCCCGTCTACCTGCCCCAACAAGGCAGGGCCCTTCTTTAAACCCAGCCACACTCCCAGGGCAGCACTGGATCACATACCTGTTCACTTGCTGGTCTTGGAGTGGATTTTAGTCATTTCTTATATTCATTCATCCACATAACAAATATTTAGTGTTTACCGCTCAATTGCATTGTATTAGAATCTGGGACTGGAGAAATGTACACCTACCCTTATGGAGCCAGCACCCTAGTAGACAAAGAAAGATAATAAATAAATATTAGTGGTAATAAGGGCTATAGAGAAAAATAAATCAACACAAGGAGAATAAGAGTAGGGTGGGGAGAAGACTTACACTACTGTGTTACTGAGTGGTCAGGGAAGGGCTGTAGGGCGGGAGGATCTGGGTGATGGTTTAAACAACCCCTCTGGCTGTCTTCTTGGAAATGGGCTGCATGGGAGCAAGGTGAAGGGAAGGAGGCAGGAGGCCATCGCAGGAGTCCAGATAAGAGACAGACTAAGGTGATGGCAGTGGCAGTGACGGGAAGTGGCTGCATCGGCATATACACTAGGAGTGATGACTCTTGCTGGTGGACTGGCTGTAGAGCAGCAGGAGGGGCATCGAAGTTGTCTCGTTTCCACCAAGTGCAATGTCTGCCCTCACACACAGCCGAGGGTCAGGCCCTGAGTCAACGATCTGTGACTGAACGGGAAGGTGTCTTTCCAGGTTGCAACCAGCCAAGCCTCCTGTGTGAAAAGTCTCACGATCAGTGTGGTGTATTTAGACCAATCACTGGAGTCAGATTACCTGTCCCAGCTGTCACTAACCAACTCCAGCTGCGTATCCTTGGGCAAGTTACATAACCTCCCCAAGCCTCAGGTTCCCCTTTTGCAAAAATGGGACTAGAGTACCACCACCACAGGGCTGTTGGCGATGCTGAGAGAGTGAAATAAGCAGGTGTGGTGTAGACCTAACATCAACCGAGGGCTTAGTTAAACCAGTTCCCAGCTCAAGCAAACAGACAGAAGGCTATATAGAGTAAGGGTTATTTTTATTTGAATTGCAAAGTATAAATATGAACCAGTTTTGGAAATACAAGTTGTAACAGTTGAGAAATGGCACCAGAAACTTCCAGAAGGGACCATGACAGCATTCATTCATAGTTTCGGTGAGGTGGGTAGGTTTATGTAAAAGCTGTCCTCACCTCCACTCCAGCTTCTCTGTAGCAATTCATAGGTTATCAATTACCGAGAACAGTCAACTGCAACGTTTCCTGTTCCTCCTCGGTCTATTTTTTCTGCTAATACCTTCTCTCAATCAGCCTCTGCTGCACTGACCCCTATGTGGAGTAGCACCAGAAGAGCGGCAGGAGTAAGGGAAATGTCTCGACACAAGGGAAAGTGAGTTCCCACTCTGGGGGCCAGGGGTGATGCAGGCCAGGAGTCGGGGAAGCTGCGGGCAGGGAAGCCCAACCTCTTCTGAGATTTGGCGGGGAGAGGACACAGGGAAACACCGATCTCTGTTACACTTCAACATCAGCACCTTGGGCTTTCAAAACACAAACAATGGACAAAATCGCCTAGGCAAGACTGCAGTCCGACTCACAGAGTGGATCTGACAAAGTTAACTCCTATGTCCTGACCATACAGACCACCACCCGTGGTGCTCTGACCACGGAGGATCTTCGGAAATGTGGGCAGACGATAGCTTACTGCAGACGGGCCACAGAGCCACCTCAGATTTGTGGCAGAAGACGGTGATGCTGAGCCAGATGGTGGGGGACTGAGGCGGTGGGGGGGGGGGGGGGGTGCCAGGAAATCCCAAAGTAACAGTCTAGGCACTTGAAATATTATTGTTAGATTGTTAAAAACTAAATAAATTAACATACATAGAATAAAATAAATATATAATTTACGAGGCATTTTTACAAACAAAAAAAAAATAGTTGTTATTTTTCCATTTGGGTAGAAGTCCCAAAATTCAGAGTTCTCAGGCTTAAGGTATTTCACAGTTAGCTCATCAAATCCAGCGCCGGAGGGTCCAATGGCAGATCCCGTGGTAACTACTTGAGTCTGTGGGTTTTCAATCTTCGTTACTTTCTTAGAGTCCATGAACCTTTCTTTCTCCCTCTCCTTCCTTTCCCTCCTTTCAGTCACAGATCCTGGAGCACATGGAATTTAACTGGCATCTTAATCCAGAAGACAAGTGTTTAAACAAACTTTACAGGTTAAGCAGGGGTTGGCAGAGGGGAATCAGAAGGGCCTGAGGGCCCCTCGCTTTCGCTTCCTTCTGATCCAGACCCCACTGGACATGTTCTGTTTGGCACTTGAAGGCTCTGGAAAAGCAATTAAGGGAGGCCCAATCTAGATGGCAGTTGGTGACAAGGGGTCTTCACAGCTTGTTGTGAAGTCCTTCCCCTCTGCAGAGTCTGTGATCAGCTTGTGTCTTCTCGGAGGTAGCAGTCCCCAGCTGGTTCCTAAAGCACAAGAGGAAGGATTTTAAAGCTGGATCCAGTCTTCACAGTCTCCCGGGTCCAGTCTTTCTAAGTGGGAAGATCATCTGGGAGGGCGTGGAAGGAGAGGGAATGAGGGCAGGAGAAGCTGAGCTCTCAGGCAGCCTTTTTGGAAACAGTTCTGCAAGGGCGCCCTGACCCTAGCCCGCCCTCCCAGGTCAAGCCGACCCCTAGGCCAAGAGGAGGAGTCAACAAGCCTTGAAACAGAGCCCAGGAAAGGTGCTGACGGTGTCAGGGGGCAGAGAAGGGACCGTTACCTTGAGCACAGGTCTCTCTCAGTGGGAAGTAGTCATGCCCAACTTCACTTTCTCTTCATTTTCCACATCATAACCTCCTCTCCTATGGTACCTGAGGAAGGTTAAGTTTTGTGAGCAAGCTGTGCCTGCTACAATGGGGCACAGGTTCCAGAGAGGATCCTTCTAAATGGTGATGCAGTGGTGGCTGCATCCACTACCCGGGAAAGCCCAGAGGGACGGCAGCCCAATACACCTGGTCAAAGGTCCAACTGCCCCAAGGGACCCAAACCGTCGTCTCTAACCGCAGGCTACAATTTGCTAAGAAATTTTTACCTCATTCATACAATCCTCACAACATTCTTATGAGGGCCTGTCCTCAGGAATGCAATCAGAATGCTAGCCAAGAATCTGGGGAGCTTGGAGGGCTCATGTGGTCACCAGGCAGAGGACCCAGCAGGACGAGGAGGAATGGAAGTGATTTGCAGAAAGAGCCTGCGGGGGCCCCCAGCACTCACCTAAACATGAGAAGCCCCACGATGACAAGCAGACAGACAGATGACAGCACCACGGCCACCACAGCCAGGATGGTAGTGTGGTCATACGTAGATAAGCGATTTTCCACTGGGAGGCTCAGCCCATGGCACCTCTCTCCGTGGTAACCTGGGTGGCAGCTGGTTCAAGACAGAACGAAGCAGAGATGATGTCATCGGTTTGGTCTCTCACTCTCGAGAACAGCCCACCTACAGGAGCCTATTGGTCCCTGACCACAAGGCCTGTCCTCTGCCCTTCTCCAGCAGGGACCCTTTCGAGGCCCCTCTGAGGGCTCCCTGGCCTTCCTCCCTCACTCCACACCCCCCTTCTCCACTCCCTCTGATTCTCTGCCCTGAGATTCCTGCTCCAGGCAGGGAAAAAGGGAGGGAGGACTCCAAGGTCTCAGCTAGATGCATTCCACGTGTGGATGATTTATTGCATGTGTGTGAAGATGGTCCGTTTAAGCCAGTTAAGGGGACTTAGTCACATGAGCTGGTGGGTTAAGCTGCGGAGATTCAGTAACGCTCCCTCTAGTGAGGCCCCTCAACTCTCTGACCCAGAAATAAACCGGGCCTTCCCCATCAATACTTCCCGAGTCCAGTCCCTCTCTGCCCCTGCCTAGCCTATTAATAGGTCCTGTGCCTGTGCCAGAAGTCACTTTTCTCAAGTCCCCTTCATTTAACTCCCAGCTCCCCGTGGGTGCAGAGCCCCACTTGAGAGCTCAACTTTGGCCTTTGGCCTCTGAACACTGGGCTATGGGGTCTCCTTCATGGCAGGATAAAGTGAAGAAACCAAGGTGACATGTTGCCCAGCTGCCCTACTACAGCATGGAAGAACGTCAGAAACAACCCCTTGGCTCTTCTCACTCTAGAAATAAGTCAGATGACAACTGCCTCTTCTAACACAAAGCACTTCCTGGAAGCTCTTAGGAAGACTCGGAAGCACTTACAATTGAATGAGCACATGCCTGCCCCTTCCTTTCTCTGAGCACCAGGAAACCCTTCCATGTAGGTAGGAATGCCAGGGGCTTGCAGCGAGGCAGAGCTCTTTTCCCGGGGAGCACGCAGCAGGGTAGAGAAGTGGATTGTCTGACTCGGAATTCAGCGAGCTGCCCACTCACACGCATAACTGCCCACTCCCTAATCAGGGGGTGCAGTGCATTGTCTGCCTGGGGACATTAGGCCACTGGCTACTGCAAAAAGCACTGAAAACCTGGGGCCCTGTACTCTGAGCTCAGCCTCCTTTTAGGAAGCAGGTTGTGCACCTGGTGCCTCAGAACAAGGAACCCCTCCTTCCTGCTGAGAGGTACCCAGGACACAGACCTGTCCATCAGTAGAGGGGCCAGGCTGCCCCACCTTCCTGCCCAGCACCTCTCCTGGTCTCAGCTCCTCCTGGGTGCTTTGGGGAACAACTCACTGCAGGGTAAACGTGGGTCAGTCCCCTCATACACAGAGCAGAGCACACTCCAGGCATCTGTTTCATCAGCTCAGGTGGGCAAAACCATGACGCCCTTCCTGCCAGGACGCAGAGGAAGCACACGGGAAGGCCCAGGAAAAGTCCCTCCTCCGCAGATGCCAACAGTTTATGGGACACCATCTTATCTACGAGCTCAGCTGAGACCCTAACACTGTGGTAGGCAGGTACAGCCCCGTTTTACAGATTGAAAGACTAAGATCAGAGAGATTGATTTGCCAAAAGTTAAACAACTAGAAAGCAGTAGGACCAAGACTAGAAACCAGGTTTGGCAAATTCCAAATTCATGAACAGTGCAGGTCACCCCCAGAAAACACATCTCTGAGGGGTTGATAGGCTCCTGAGGCTGTCGGACTCTACTCCCCATTACTACTCTTGTTGTTAGTTATTATTAACTTGAATAATAAATAAGCCAAGTGCTCTGTGCTAATTTCTTTACAAGGACCATTTCATTTCACCTTAAAAACACCTCTGTGAAGTAGGGCTTACTATCCTCATTTTAAAGATGAAGAGACTGAGGCTTAACTTCTTGGACAATTTGCCCAAGGTTACACGGCCAGTGGGTGGTAGGGCTCGGAGGCACCCAGCAGCCTGGACGACTTTAGAGACTGTGCTCTCCCGGTGGGGGGTGGGGTGGGGAGCCGAAGTGGAGCCTGCTTTTCACTGCCAGCCTATCATTCAAACCCCACAGGTAGTTACTCAGATGATAGAAATAAAGGCTGGCCTCAGAGTCCTGCAATCCAGTTACATAATCCCTCCACCCCTACCCTGAGTCAAAAGGATAATAATGTAAACATCCTAATATTACCCACCTCCCCATCCCTCTGCAGCAGACTCCTGGATTCCCCAGGGAAGGAGGGAGGGTGAGCACATTCCAACATCCCCGGGGCGGGGGGCGGGCAAGATCATGTGTCTTCTCCGGAGCCAGCATCAAACTGGGACACGTCCCTCCCACCCATGTCTGTGACCCATTTCCGAACTTGTATTACAACAGAAGCAAGAACCTCTAGGGTCCAGAGATGTCTTCCAAAGTGGGTTTCTCCGCCTCCGCTCTAGGATGTGGAGGGGGCACCATCTGGTGCAGGGGTCTCAGAACACATGCGCTCCAGATGGGTCCTGCTGCTATTTCTATCCAAGCAATCTTGAGCAAGTTACTTTAACCTTTCCAAGCTTTATTTTCCCATGTAAAACACAAGAGTAATAAATGCCTACCTCACTAGAGTATTGTGAAGATCAAATAGCATAGATAAAAGCATTTAATAAGAGGCTAAGCCCCTCATACATGTGCATTATTATGTAATGGACTCCGGAGTGTACTGCTCATACCTGAGGAATGGGGCACCAAAGTCAGACGGAGCCAAAGAGAATGGGCTTGAGATTCCTTCTCAGCACCTGACAGAGGCAGGGAGAGCCCCCAAGCCTGTCCCTGTGTCAGCGTTGAGTCCTCCTCAGCCCCACTGCCCCCAGGTCTCCGCCAGCCACAGGAAACCCTGCAGCCAATATCTGGGTCAGCAGGCAGTCAGGAGCCCCAGGAAGCTGCTCTTTGAGGGCAACTTTCGGCTGGCGACACAAAAGAGCTTTCCTGCGGACGGACGGCGGCTGCGGAGGGCTGTTTTAGGAAGCCGGCTAGCCTCAAGCTCACCACAGTAGCCTGGACACGCCCTGTGGCGGCTCCTGGGTCTGGAGGCAAGGAGGAGCCACAGAGGGCCCCAGATGTGGGTGTCCAGATGTCACACTGCCCCAAACCAGGAGCTCTGCACCTTCTCACTGGTTTCTGCCCTGAATACCAAGGGCTGAAGGCAGGAGGCAGCCACACCAGACCCAGAGTCCAGCCCTGTGAAAATATGCCTACGAAGCAGATACAAAATCTTCATATCAGATTGCCCTTCTCTCCAGCTAGTAAAATCCTTTAGAGACCTCTGGGCAAACAGCTGCCCTCTATAAAACCCTGCTCAAACTCAGTGAGGACAGATGGGGAAGAAGGACGCAAGCCAACACCAAGAGCAGCCCGGGGACATAAAAAGCATGTTGGACTGGAAGTCAGGCACCTGAGTCCCTGTCCTGTTTCCATCCACTTATTTAGCTGTTGATCTCAGGCAAATCACTTCCTACTTCCTGGCTCCAGTTTCCTCATCTTTCAAGTAGAGACAGCAAGCGCTGCCTACCCAGCAGGGGGGCTTCTGAGAATCCCGAGACAGGACGACATCTCCCCACCCCCTGGAATAGATGGCATCAAATGGGTGCTCAACATACACCTATTGGGCTCAACTCATGTTGCATGTAAACTGTGGAGCTTCTGGGCAAAGGAGAGACACATTTTCATGGTCATCATTACCATCCCTAGGGCCACCATGGCCCCGGGCACCCCTATCTAGGTCTGTGGGCTTAGGAGGCGGCTTGAGCCCAGCTCTCCAAGACAGCAGCCCTGCAAGGGTTCTCAGCTGAGCAATAGAAGTCCACCCACCAACGCCCTGAACCAGTTTGGCCCAGACAGATGCCTGGCCTTAGTCCCTCTTGACTACCCTCAGAGTCACTGCCTCCACCCTGTGCCAATGATGCCATTTTATAAATTTAAGACAAACATTCCCTGCCTTGTCCCAAGACCTTTGGGAAGGATTACTTGGAGACTGTCTCTGTCATTCTTCAGCGGCCCCCTCCCATGTCAAGCTCCTGACAAGGATGTTTATAAGAGAGGATACACATGAATGACCATGAACCTGGTGGGGAGTAAGGAGTCTGTCTGCCACATGCCAAGTACCAGGCAGCTCAGCTATGTGAGATCAGATGGGACAAGGAAGCTTTCAAAAGCCAAGGGATCTGCACCACCACAGTACAGGAGATGCCAGGCAGCCAGTCTTCTTGACAGGCTGGGAGGTGGTGTGCACCCAGAAATCTCCTGGCTGTGGCCAGAGTCTCCCAGGTCACAGAGCCTGCCTCCCCACAGGGCCTCGTGCCCAGCAGAAGAGAGTGGATGTTTACAGCCTGACTCGAGTGTTGGCCTCAGGCACACTGGCGACATTATGCCTGCCAGAGAGCGTGGCAATGCCGTCATCCCTGAGGGGTTGCCAAGATAGCCGTTTGCTGGGTTTGGCCTAACAGATCAGCTGGGGAACCCATGGCCCCTCCACCCACACCACTGCCTGGGGAAGGGTGGTGCTGCCCGCCTGGGGGCTGATGCCTCCTGGGTCGGGTTCCATTTCCTGTGAATCTTGCACAAAGGGAGTGTTCTCCCACCCCTTGGCCAAAGGCCAACACCCAGCATGTCCCCCACCTCCTGGCCCTTGTTGCGGGAGAAGGTGGAGGAAGAAGGAGGGGGTTCTCCCCACTCCCACGATGACTGCTCTCTGTGCAGTCCTGTCGTGCCTCAGATTCAACCCAGATTAGCTCACTCTTATGCACGCATGTTCGAGTACACGCACACCTGCAGAGCAGGTGTCCAAATGGCCCTCGTATCTGCCTGCTGGGCTTGAGAAAGGAGGCCTCGGGAGCCCCGCTCCACCTGAGACACTGCCACGCCTCCTACTGATCCGTCCCATCTGGAGCAGGCATGAGGCAGGAATGAAGGACCTGCCTTGAGCAAGCAGGAAACGTCCCCAAGGATACAACAAGAACGTCACAGACCCACACCACAGGAAATTGCATCCTACGCGGGGGAAGCCCCTTCCTCTGACTAAAAATATTTCCCTTCCTCCCAACTTCCGCCCAGAGGTTGAAAAGAAACTGGGTGGAATTTTGAATTCAAGGAACGGTGACAACTAGGAACAGCCACGTGGCTGACAAAGAGCGTGCTGACAGTCAGGCTGGCGGCAGGGACACTTACATGCAGGATGGGGACCGGATCTCCTTCACATATTTGCAGTCTCCATGAATGCAGTAGTCCTTGTATCTGCGAAGACATGGGTCTCTCTTCTTCCCCAAGCCCTTGCCTTTCTTCTTCCTTTTCCCACGCTCCTCCTTGCTGGGTGTGGCCATAGCTTGTGGCTTGGAGGAGAAAGCTACTGCGGGAGATAAGCGCTCCGTTAGGTCTTTGACTCCCGGGAGAAAGAATCAGAATAGCACAGCATCTCAAAGGAGGGTGTACTCTTTGATCCCACCTGAAGTCAGAGGCCTAGAAAGGCCCGTTGGCTCTGTGCCTCCCAGGGACTGAAGGCAGGCTGGACAGAGCCACTAGAAAGTAGTGGAGGAAGTAGAGGCAAGTGGCAGTCCCAAGGAAGGCCTTTCACAAACAGTTTAAAATCCTCATTCCAAGAATGCTCGCTCCTCTTGAGTAACTGCATGCAGCTCACTGGGCAATTCTACCAACGTCACCCCCACCCCACTCTCCATCCCACCTCCTACTGTCCCACGCCCACTTGGTGCTATTTTGGCCTTAAATCATTTCCTGATACTGCACTCAGTGACCCAGTTGCAGGAAGACAGCGTCAGAGATAAAAATTGCTGCTGCAGAAGGTTCTTGGAGGGGTTTTGTGTGTGTGAAGGGGGTGCTCTTTAAGTAACAGCGGTGCCCATGTCCAGGCAGCCTCCTCTGGGGGACCTGTTAGCACCAGAGTACCGTGAGCCCAGTGCGGAGCCAGGCTCAGGGACAGCAAGTAAACCATCCCTGGTCGGGGCCTGGTTTTTCTGACTGCAAACGAAATATCTGCCCTGCTCTGTGCCCTTTGCAGCTCACCACTTCTCTCAAAGGCCCGTTTACATATACCCGCAAAATGTCCTGGTTATAGGTCCCTAGGATGGGGAGTATGATGTGTACAAATGGCAGAAAGATGAAAAGTAAGGAACTATCCAGAAGGTACTGGAACAATGATGACGGCCCCCATCCTTTCCATGCTTCCAAGGCAGAAAACCACCTCACACAGACATCTGCTGGGACTGACCATGGGCGACACCCATCAGCCCAAGGGTCTGACACCAGTCCCTCTCTTCCCTGCCCACAGCAGAAAAAAGGTGCCCACTGTCCACGGCTGTAGCCCCTTGTCTGGCAGACAGGTGAGCATCAAACGTTAGACTGGAGACCAAGGATCCTCAAGCCAAAACAGCATGGCTTTCCATTTCAAGTGAAATACTTGAGGTCCCAAAAGGCAGTGACTTGGCCCAGGCCATACAGGGTTACGATCAGAAATATGGGCTGTGGACTCCATATCCAGTGCTCTTTCCCAGTACACTAAGCTGCCTCACATACCCGTCCCCTCCCCTGGACAAGTCTGGAGCACCTGGGCTGTGGAGCCAGGAATGAGACAATGAATGGGCTCTGAGGTCAGCAGACCCGGGCTCCCATTTCAGCCACATGATCTTGGACAAGGTGCTTAATCTCTCTGAGTCTTGGGATTTTTGGTAAAAAGTGGACAGGAAGAGTTCCCATTTCAGAGGGTTGCTACAAGGATTAATTAATCTATAGTAACATGTTGAATGCCTAGAACACAGTAGGCACTTAAAAAATGGTAACACTTATTTTAAGTGACAGGATACCCTGAGAAACAATCTTCACCCAGCAAAGCCAAGAGACGGGAAGAGAGACAGGTGCCAGCGGTCCCCAGTCCCCAGTCCCCTCTGGTGCAGACCCAGGCCCCTTCTGAGCTCAGAAGGTGAGGCAGATGCTGAGAGAAACTCAAGTGACCACAGCTGCGGTGAAACTGAGGCAGACAACCCAAGCCACTGAGAAAGGGGAGGGGAAGGGTGACAGGGTGACAGCCAGTCTCTGGTCCGGGAGAGGGAGCAGTGAGTCAGGTCTGCAGAGGTATGAGGAGCAGCTGTGTGGGTGGAGGGTGAGTCACAGGCCAGGCTCTGCCCAGCCTAGGACAGAGTCAGGAGCATTCACCGGTGACCTCTGAGGTCCACCGTGAGATGATAAAGGATGAGAGCCCAAGTTCACCTTTGCAACAGAAACTTCATTTTACAAAGCAGAGACAGCACCCAAGGGAAGCACTGCCTAAGGAGGGAGATGAGTGGCTGGGGGTGGGGCTAGGACAGGTGGGTATCTTTCCAACCAAATATAGTCATTCCGGTCCTCCCGGGGTTAGTCCCAGCTCCACCCTCCTGAATTGCTGCAGGTGGCTGGGGCTCGGGCAGCAGGCAATGCCAGTGACTCTGGACTCTGTCCTGTCTGTTCCTATACTCAGCCACAGCCACATCTGCCTTTGGAGGATCCCACTGGGCCCTTCCCTCCTTGGAGCTTCTTTCAGGGACTCAAGGGGGTCAGGAAGTCTACAGACTTTGGGTAGGATTTGTAGATACCTAGCATTTCAATACAGCTCCTAGGGACCCAGTGCTCATCATTCATAGCCTTCCCAGGAAGTGCTGGCTTCACCTGGGGGAGACCAAGAGTTTCTCATCCCCCTCTGATTCCCCAACCTGGAGACAAGTGGGTGGAGAAGACTTACACTGCATACCTACTATGTGCCTAGCTTCTCCTCGTCTGTTATTTTTTACAGTCATTTGATGTGGGAATTAGGACTTGTGCCCATTTTTACATAGAAACTCTAGAGAAAGCATCCCAACCATTCCTTGTTCCTACCACCCAGCTTACTTCGGACGAATATACAGATCCCAGGCACCTTGCCTGCCTCCATTTGCTCCAAGGTACCCAGAAAAGCGGCAAGTTGACATATGGCAACCAAGGGCAAAAGAGAGTGCGACCCCTATTCCAGGATCCCTCATTATGCTCCCCAGGCCGATCGGCTTTTCCTTGAAGTCCTTCATGAAAACCCCAAACCCACAGGTGTGCCCAAACAAATGAATCCCGGATCTACTTATTCTTCACCTGCCCACCGGGGTCTGAGGATGGGCAGCCCCCACACCCACCTCTGAAAAGGTCTAGGTCAGCCTCTTTCACGTCCAGAGCCTCGTGGCCCCGTCCACCTCCCGGGGTCAGCAGCTGGTCAGTAGATTCCGTGGGAGATCCCAGGTTGCCGGTTCCACCCTCCAACCCTCTACGAAGCCGCTCCAGGCTCTCTCCGGTCACCAACGCTGAGATCACTGCGAGTGAGAGAGTAAGGCCGCATCAGACCCTCCGCCAAGACCCCGGTCGCCACGCACCGATGCCAGCGCCCGCCTACCAGGGAGCACGGGCCCCACCAAGTGGCCCAGGCCGGGGGCGCAGCAGCGACCTTCCCCGTACCCCCAGCAGAGCGTCCCCACCCCCGCCCCCGACCTCCGGGGGCGTCGGTAGCCCTCTTACCTGCAGCCAGAAAGAGCTTCAGCACCACCGACGGCAGCAGCTTCATGGTCCCGGACCCGGCGAAGGCGGCGCGGCAGCAATCAATCACTTTGGAGGCAGCGGCCACCGGGCGCTAGCACTGGAAATAGGGTGGGAGGGGAGCAGTAGATTCCGCGGGGCACGGACTGCTGCCGGCCTCCGGATGCAAGTCTTGCTGGGACCTGCGTGGATCTAAAGGCCCCTGGGTGTCTGTATGCTCACTCCGTCGGTCCGGGCGTGCTTCTGTCGGCCCAAGTCCCTGAGCCCGGGTCAGGCTGGCCAGCTGCGTGATGCGCGCAGCTCCTTCGATCTGAGCTCTCCCGGCGCGCGGCCGGGAATAAGGCTCCGCGAGGCGCCGACGCTCCGCCCCGCCTCGCGCCGCCCCCTCCCCCTCCTGCGCCTGGACACTAGCGCGGCTCCCGGCGCCTGCAGCCTAGCCCCGGACCCCGCGGGCGCGGCGGGGAAGGGGGCGGGAGCAGGGGCGGCGCTCACATTTTTTGAGACCAGGCCAGGGCAGCCACGGCCTGACTGGGTAAGACTAGTGACCGGCAGGTGGCGGGGACCAGTTCCTACCTTTCTCCAAACCCTCGTCGACCTGCAGGCGTGTGACTGCGGAGCTGAGCTCTGTCTGCCCTTGGACGCCCCTCGTTCCTTCCGGCCTCCCTGGCCCGGTCCCTAAGGCCATCCCTTCTCCAAAGCGAGGCTCTCTACCATTGTCAGTCTGAGTTTCAGAAACCAGCTTCTTTGCCTACCAAATACATAATACCAATAAATAGTACATTTATTTGTCATTTAAAAATCAGACACATGAATCAGGTCTCACGAGCCCGGGGTAACTAGAGTTGCAGTTGCAGACACTTGGTATTAATCCAACAAAAGTGAAGGAGGCTAGGATTCTTCCAACTTCACCCCTTCTGTCCCCCAGAGGACATAGTGTCTGCTAGGAGTTTTGGACTATGGATTATAATTCCCAAGATTCTGGGATTGGAGAGGCACAGAGTGTGAAACAAGCCATGCTTTTCCTTGCCTTTGAACACCACCTTCTTCTGGAACATAAAAGCTGAGACCCGCTTCTGCAGGACACGCTGATAGCTAGCCTAGGTTTGCTTTGTTTAACAGGTGCCAGGAGAGTGGTGTATTTCTCTTCTAACCTATCTGTTGTTACTGGGGTCTTCTGGAGTCAACGTCCCGACCCAAAGAAATGACTCTCAGTCGGTATTTCAGCTCCTAGGAACGTGCTGGGGAGGGATTTGTATGACACAGGGCTGCGTTGGCATTCAGAGCCCTCAAATTGTGCCAGATAGAGCCGCTTGCCTGATTCGGCCCATGTGTAGGGATAAAAACAGGCCTGCTATTTATACACAGTCCATCCTACTGTCCCTCCCCACCCCTGCTTTTGCAGGAGTCAATCAGCTCTGCCCTCTTGACCTGCCCCCCACAGCCCTCCCTAGGTTCTAAGGTGCACTGGAACCACTACAGCCCTAAATCGGAATCCTGCCTTTTTAACTACGTGTGACCTTGGACAAGATATTTATTCTCACTGAGCCTCAGTTTCCACATCTCTGAAATGGAAATAACAGTAATAATATGAACACCTACTTTGGAGAGAGGTGTTTGTATGTGTGTGTTTGAGAGTGAGGTTTTTGAAGACGAACAAGGGAACACATATAAAGCAGTTAATGCAGTGCCAGGCATATTATAAACTCTCAGTAAATGTGACATCATCATCATCTTCATCATCACCATCACAAAGCATTCTACCTTGCCCACTCTATTCCCTTGCAGGCCTCTTTCCTCCCTTTCCCCCACGGGCTTGAGGTTCCATGCTGTAGTTTGCCTGGTTTCAGGCAGAACATTACCTGTCACCTATTTGGCCAAGTGCCACTGTGGAATTATTCCTTTGGGTGGTCAGTGTCGGGCCGAGGACTCCAGTGGGCGGTCGGACCCAGGCCACAACTTTGTTCTCCTTCAGCAACTGCCTGGTCACCTGCTTCTCCCCCCACCCCCCACCCTAAAAAGCCACCTTGGGGTCAGGGCTCTCCCCAGGGGAGGGTGGAGGGGAACGCTTCTTGACACACAGCCAAGTCACTCCTTTTTCCCCGACCTAAGGCCAAGTTCACACCCTGCTGTCCTGTCCCAGCCTGCCGTTCCCTTCGCGTGCTCTTCCGCCTTCTCACCCCCACATCAGCCTTAGTCCCATTCACGGGGCAACTCCAAGCTTTCGTCACACCTGGAAGCCTCACCCCAGCTAGGTTTGTGTGTCAGCCAGTTCTTACGGGAAGGGCCTGGGGAAGAAGGCAAAAGGCCCGAAACGTATGTGGACAGTCACTTCCCCTCTCAGAACACTTAGTGTCTCCTAACCAAAAAAGAAATTGCAGTTACCGCTGGGGCAAATTCATTAACTCATTTATTCCATGAACATCCACTGAACACTTTTCAGCCACTAGGGACACGGCAATAAACTGGACAGCCAAGGATGTGCCTTCACGGAGCTTACCACATTCCACAGTGGGGGACACAGGCAGGACAAGGTCCACAAAAAAGGAAAAATAGGTGCTATGATGACGGAGCCGAGATAAAAGTTAAAACACAATGATGTACTATAAAACGATGTACCCCAGTGCCTGGGATGATGATTTAGATTTGGTGACTGATGAACAAAGGCATCTCTGAGCAGGCAACATGTAAGCACGAATAAGAAGGAACCGTCCTTGTGGTCGTCCGTGGCGAAAGTGGTCCAAGCTATGCAAATAGTGCAAAAGCTCTGATGTGGGAACAAGTGTGGAACGTTCAAGAAACAAAAAAGAGACCAGAAAGGAAAAGAGGAATATGACATCACATTGGAGCAAAAGCTAGAGGCAGATAACAGATGTTACCAAGGGAGACCCTGGATTTTATTCCTTACCATTGTGAGCATCAAATGGGGTGTCCGCGGGAAAGCACAATTATGCAGTTTCTTTCACGTCTTCCCCTACCTGCTGTTTGACTGTCAGGGGCCAGAGACACACTTCTATGGAAGCAGAGTCAAAATAAATGGGCCACTCCATTTCTCTGACGACCCATTGACCATGAGAAAATTGAAGCTGAGAGATGTACTGGCCCTGGGCCACCAGTGAGTCAGAAGGGGTTCGGAGCCCTGGTATCCTGCTTCCCAGCCTGCGATGGGTGCCCAGGCCTCTGGAGAGGCAGGTCCACAATACTCTGAGTGCCACTGACTCACTGCTAAGCCACACAGAGCTTGATTTGGGGAGAACACTCACAAGCTAGTGGGGAGGAGCTGTGTAAAAGGGCTGCTGGTAGTGACAAGAAAGGTAGGGAAGGGACTTAGAGAGGAATCTATCTGAGCCTCTTCCCCACTGTGGCTGAGATGTCTACACTAGTAGATTGTTCCCCCAAACGTGGCTATGCATCGGAATCATTTGGGAATGTATTAAAGATAAAAAGGGCTAAGGCCCAGCCCAATTCTAATTCACAATCTGCTGTGGTGGGGCCCAAGCATTTACACTTCTGGCATGTCATTCTTCACCAGCCAGGGTCAGAAGCACTGGTCTGCACAGTTAACCACCCTTGACGATGCATCAAGCATCTGAACAGAGTTTGATCCTCTAAGTCATAGGCAGAGGAGCTTTGAGTAAAGACACTTCACGTGCATCATCCTGGTGTGATCCTCCCAACTGTCCCACAACGAGGCCATCCTCCCCATTTTAAAGGGTTGAAGCTTAAAGAGGTCAGCACCATCCCAAGGTCACCCTGTTAGTAAAAATCTAAGCCTCGATTTTTCCTGGACTTGCGCTCTTAAACTCAACATTTACCTGAATAAATGGATGAGGCGACAGCTGCCCTCTGTCTGCTTCTAGCAACAGAAACATCATCAGCCTCACTGAGGCCCAGTGCTCCACCTGTCCTGGGGGTAAGGATAAGAATCCCCGCCTCACAGGCTAGAAGGAGGGTTGGGCAAGGGTGGCAGGGCAGCCAGTGAAATGGGTACACTCTTGGGAGCCAGACAGCCATGGGTTCAAAGTTTGTCTCTGCTTTTTTTTTTTTTTTTCAGCTTTCCGACTTTGGATATGTTTTTTAGCTTCTCTGACCTACAGTTTGCTCATCTGCAAAATGAAGACAATACAAGTAGCTATTATTACAGGCCCCTTGTGATGATTAAATCAGATCATGTGTATAAAGCAGAATATGATGCCTGGCCCGCGGTAGGTGCTTACTCAGTGACAGCTATTATTAAGAACAAATGCTTTTCTCTCTTTCTTACTTACTTTCTTTCCTTTCCTTTCTTCCTTACTTCCCTTGGGGATTTCAATAAGGTTGTTTTACGCTGGGCCAGCCACCCTCAGAACTGAAGTGGTCCCTCTCAGCCAGTAGATGCCATGATTATCCATAAGATGGGCATCTGCAAAGCCACGAGGAATTATGGGAAACTCCACCCAAGAAAGCAACCCTGGCTTAGAGCTCAGAGAGAAGCATGTCCCCCGGGGAAGGGGATTCAGCTGCTTTCTCCTTCCACTCTGATCCGGTGAGTCCTAAGCAGACCCAGGGCTCTGCTGGCCAGGGAGAGTGGACGGGAGGGGAGCTCCATTGAGGATGCTTCTGTTACCAGGTGGCCATGAGCCCAGTTAACCAAATGTGGAAGTTCAGGGTAAGGGGTCACTGCTCCTTGCCCCAGGCAGGCCTCTCTCAACCACGTTCCCTATTCCCATCTGAAGCAGCTGATCAAGCAGTTCCGGGGATGCAGCTGGAGTGGAGCTCAGGCCGGCCCTGTGGAGTCTGACCGGAGGTAGTACCAGGTGATGCCTCACCCACACTCGGAGGTAGACAGGTTCTCTTGTCTGATTGCCTGGGGTCAGGAGCCGTTTGAATAGGATGAAGAACAGCAATGGGTGAGGGGGGGAGAGTGTCTGAGAGGGTCAGGAATCACTGGCACCCCCAGAAAATGTTGGAGAAGGGACCTTTACAGTAATGTACTTGGCTCAGGCCTGGGTTCCAAGCCATCTGCCTCCATTTTGGGGCCCATTTCTGGGACTTTGAGGAATTAACATCTCCAGTCCCAGGACTTCGGCCTTTTCCTTAGCACACACGGCTCTCTGTCAGCAGGGCGGGGCGAGTGACTCCTCACTCATCCATCACAGAGTCTACCTCCTCTTCAAGCCTTGGGCCCCTGCTCTGCAAAATGAGGGATTGAAGCCATTGTTCTGTTTCAGGCACTGGCCAGTGCCACCCACCACGAACTGTTTGCAGTCACACTGTGAAAATCGCACTGAAGCAATTCTGTGTCAATCAGCGGTGCCTGACCTACAGGGCACGGTGACCTTCTCTCTGTGCCTCAGCTTCTTCGTCTCTGAAAGGGGAGAGTAGCAATCACCTAAAAGATTCTTGTGGCAATTGAAAGAGAAAGTGCTTGGCAAAACGGAAAGCTCTGTATTAACAGATCGGGACTGTTATTAACTTCTCCAGGGCTCAGCTCCGGAATGAGGTCACAGCACATTCTGCACCAAGAATGAATAGGTTCACTTCCTCTTGGGAATGCGGTCACAGAGCTTGCAGTTCCACAGTTGAACATTATCCACTTGCTCTCTTTATTAACTGAGGCTTGTTCTAGGACAGTGGTTCACCGAGGAAGAGATACTGACCCCTAGAGGACATTCTAGGACTCTCTGTGTAAGCTTTTGGTTGTTACTGATTGGGGAGCCAGGCATTTGCTGGGGAGAAGCTGTCCTGCTCACACATTAAAAATTGCCCCCACATTCCACTTTTGAATGTTCCCCCAGCCTCGGTATGAGTACCCCCTCACACAGCGCCTCCCCCTTCCCACCCCCAGTCCTGCCAGAGTTCCGATGGTCTGCTTTTGCCCTCTCTGCAGCCCCAACCGCCCTGGCTCCCGAGACTGCCCATAGCAGAAGGCCACCAGGCCTCCACTCTCGCTGGCTCCCACTTCCACCTCTTGGGCCCCGAGAGCCTGAGCTGGCGGGTTGGTGGGAGATGCGAGGAGGAACCCGAAGGCCTTCCTGTGGGCGCCAGCGATCTTCCCCGCAGGGAAAATGTGCTGCGTGGGTGGGCAGCCGAGGCCCATTCGTATGGGTGAAAAATGTGATTACTATTACCTGAGCTGAGAATTACCTCTAATTTACACAAAAATAAAAAAAGAGTTTTTGCGCAGAGTTTTCTGGGAATGAATTTAGTGTGGACTGGCCATTATGGTGTTAGCTCAATGACCAAACAGTATGGCTGTGTCAGTCAGTATTTGTAGCCAGTCACAGTCAAAGGAAGTCTGCGTCGACGCAGGCAACAGGCCATTTCGCTGACATTCATAGAGCAGTTGTGATCAAGTATTTGTATATTCAAAATTTTTAATCATTTTCTCTTCGATATTAATTGGGATGCTGACTTTCTTTACAGAGTAAATGTGAAGATATTTTCTGTGAACTCTATTTCAGAATGGTAAGCAAGTGTTGACAACATTTGTAAAAAGAAAATACTGATTGTGAAAGGGGTGGGAACCCCTCATACACAAGAGTTTGAGCAATTCACCCAACTTGTAAGTGAATCTCTACTTGTGACAAAATCTCAAAAAATCTATACATACATACATACAAATGACTTCATGTGGCAACTGGTGAGATCTGAATAAGGCCTATAGTTTAGTTACTAGAATTGTGCTAATACCATTTTCCTGGTTTTGATATTGTACTGTCTGTCCTTAGGTACGATGTTTCCACGGGGGAGGCCAGATGAAAAGCACCAACTGGAGACTTCCCTGTACTTTTTTTTGTAATGTCTATATTTCTTCTTCTATAATTAGACTCACATAAATAAATAGTTTAAAAAGTAAGTTAACCCCAGTTGGGTAGCTCAGTTGGTTAGAGCACCATCCTGACAGGCCAAGGTTGCAGGTTCAATCCCTAGTCAGGGCACATAGCAAAAATCAACCAATGAATGCATAATAAGTGGAACAACAAATTGATATTTCTCTCTCTCTCTCTTTCCCTTCCTCTTTCTTTAAAAAGTTTTTAAAAATTAAAGATTTTTTAAAGCTTGTTCTAAGGATTACATAAGATAATGTGCCTAATGCAATGGTTAAATATAATTGGCATTTCAGGGTATCATATTTTCTTTCTTCCCCACTCTGAGAGTGACTATTTTCATAGTTGTATAATAATTACAACCCCTCTATTGTGTTGACTATGTGCCAGGTCTATTTTACATGCGTTGTTTCATTCAATAAAGCCTATAAAGTATGTACTTTTATTATTCACCTTTGGCTGATAAGAAAACTCAGGAAGGGCTTTGCTCAAGGACACCCAACAAGTCTGACTGAGCCAGGCAGAGACCCCAGTCTGAGAACTCCAGGGCCAGCCGGCCCTCGGCTGCCCACCCACGCAGCACATTTTCCCTGCGGGGGAGATCGCTGGCGCCCACAGGAAGGCCTTCGGGTTCCTCCTGGCATCTCTCACCAACCCACCCAGCTCAGGCGTTCGGGGCCCAGGAAGTGGAAGTGGGAGCCAGCGAGAGTGGAGGCCTGGTGGCCTTCTGCTATGGGCAGTCTCGGGAGCCAGGGCGGTTGGGGCTGCAGAGAGGGCAAAAGCAGACCATCGGAACTCTGGCAGGACTGGGGGTGGGAAGGGGGGGCGTTTGTGTGAGGGGGTACTCATACCGAGGCCATGCCCCTCTCCCCCTCACAGTCCCTTGAGTCACTTGCCCCTGAGTGTGGGGCACATTCCTGAAGGGGGTGGTTACGGGATTCCAGGCTCCCTCAGGCCCTAAACCAGTTTCTATTCCTCCTGGGACTGAAACCAACTCCCCCCTCAGCACCCTGTGTCCCCAACTGGTAATAATGTAGTGACTCACTCCTGTAGTTCTTGCCCTGTGAGCTCCTTGGACTCGGGGCAGATCTCTCCAGGTCCTGACCGGGTTTGGTGGGGAGTGTTAGCGTGAGTCCCATTTCTCAGGGAGGAGATGGCTCCCAGGTACCTAGTGGGGATTTTGAACCACGTTTAGATGAGCCTGCTCTGCTCTTTCTCCCCATCCTTGTTGTGCTCCCACAACACCCCATCCCATCAAGCCAGTCAGCTGTGGGCCAGGGCCAGGTCGAGGATCGAGGACCCCGCCCTTGTCCTTCACTGTGGTTCACTGCGCTGCTCAGCCCAAGGGCGCAGCCCTGTCGCTGCGGTACGCGAGGAGTAGTGCCCCCGCGTGGCTTCCAGGAGAAACGCATCTCGTCTCCCGCCCCCTCCCTTTCCATTGCGCCCATTGAACTTGTGTTGAGGGCGGTGAAAATAAAATACCTGCTCTGTGGATGGTACATTCCACTGTGTGTGTCTGTGTGTTTATCGTTTGTTTACAAACGATAAGCAAATAAATAACGGATGGCAGTTACTAATAGTGAAAATTGCTAGGAACAAAATAAAACAGAGAAATGGGATGAAGAGCAACCTAAGAGGGAAACTCAGGGTGGAAAAGGAAGGTTTCCGTGAACAGATACCATCTGAGATAAGACTCAGGTGCTGGAGATGCAGCCATGCGGGGATCTGGGGGAAACTTTTCCTTGCAGCGAGAAGAGCTACTGAGCCCTCCTCAGGTAGGAGCAGGCTTTGCAGAGCAAAGGCCAGCGCGGCTGGAAAGCAGAGAGCGAAGGAAGAACCGAATGAGCTGTGGTCAGAAGGGTGGGCTGGGGCCAGGTTATAGATCTCGTAGGCCATGAGAAACTTGAATTTTTCTTCTAGGAGTAATGGAAATTTATTGGGTGAGTTTTGAGCTCAAAAGTAATGTGGCTCAATGGCTTTTTACGAGGACCCCTATGACTGCTGTGTGGAGAATGGACTTCGGGCAAGGAAGGAAGAGTGCAAATAGGGAGATTATTGGAAGAAATTAGAAAGCTATTGAAATAGTCCAGGTGAGAAATGCTGGCAGCTTGGGTCGGGGTTGGTGTCGGAGGTGCAGCGATGCGCCTGGGGGCTGGATGTAGTGTGAAGGCAGGGTCAGCAGGACTTGCTGATTGACCACATTCTCCTTTGCTCACTGAGCTCCAGGAACTTCATGCAAATACACACCCTAGCTGGCTCCTCCACCCTCACAGGGGGGCAGACCCCCAGGGTCACAGTTAACATGGGGAGTTTCCCCGTGAGGCTGACAGAGGAATGCCAGACTCAGCCATTGTGTTCTGCGCGAACTGCCTCCACGTTCGGTCACTCATCCATCTTAATGGGCAGGGCCTCTGCCTGCTGTTTCCCTTACCCTGCCTGGCTTCTGCAGACCCAGTCATTTTTAGTCTCTGTTTGTCCAAATGACTGACCTCAGGGTGTGTTGGTGACACCCCAAATAGTCCCGAGTGTTTATTGTTTTTATTTGATACAGAGTAGGGGGCCCGCATACTCTGGTGGTGTCAATCCTCAGACCCAGGCCAACCACTTATTACTGTCTGTTTACACAAAACACAGTGAGGTCAGACCTGATCCCACAGAAAATGCACACAACACTTTGGCCCCAGCTAGGGTGTTTTGGAGAGCCTGGGAGAGTTCAGGCTGGGCTCACAAACACCCTTGGACCAGTGGGAGAGGGGGAAAGCAAGAGAGGAGGAGCTGACCCAGCTGGCTCTAGAGTCAGCAGGCCTTGCTTTGTTTGTGTTGTACTGCATGGGGTACCTTATAAATGCAGCCAACACCGGGGACCCTGGCCTCAGAAGCTAGGACTGCACTAGTGCTAAAAGGCTGTGCAAGCCTCACCCAGATGATGCTGCAGGCCCAGGAGGAGTGTGATGGCCACAGTGCTTATGAAAATGTGGCCACAGGAGAGCTGGACAGTGGCCCTGGCTCTGGCCCCAGCCCAGACACTGACAGTCAGGGACAGGGGGCACCCAAGGACCCTCTGCTCTTCATTCAGCTGAATGAGCTTCTGGGCTGGCCCCAGGTGCTGGAGTGGAGAGAGACAGGCAGGTGAGTGAAACCCAGGCCAGGGTCTGGGGTTTTATAGGGTCCTTCCCCTGCTCAGCTGGGGCCTCCTCCGTGACCCCAGCTCCTCCTGTGAGGGGGTATTCTTGCCCACAATTAGGAGTTCCTCTCTGCGTCCTCATTTCAGGCCCTTGCCCTTCATGACGCTCAGCCTTCTCCACGACCCAAGACCAGGGGTGACTCTCTGGTGGGGAGGGGTGTACTCTGCACCACTGGGCCCACGTCTCCCTCATTAATTTACCTTCCCTGGCTCCCCTGCATCCCCACTTCTGGACCTGGGAGAAATGCCCCAAATAGCACTGTCTACCCCTCTCTACTGCAGGTGGGTGCTGTTTGAAGAGAAGCTAGAGGTAGGTGGGGGCCGGTGGAGTGCCCCCCATGTACCCACCCTGGCGCTGCCCAGCCTGCAGAAGCTCCGCAGCCTACTGGCCGAGGGCCTTGTCCTGCTGGACTGTCCAGCTCAGAGCCTCCTGGAGCTTGTGGGTACGCTGGGAGCCTTTGGAGGGAGGGCATGGCTAGCCACGCCACCGTTTCTCTAAGATTTCCCCCCCAGAGTCTTGGAATTTTCCAGAGCCCACCACACCCACCTTCGGGATTATCCATCCCTGACCCAGGGGGAAGGTGGAAAAGCAGAGTGAAGAATCAAGTTCACTGGCTCCTCCATTCCCTGTGACTCTCAGGAGGGAAAGGGACCTGGCAGAGGGGAAAAAAGATTTCAGGGATAAGGAGCTCTAGGAAAAGACTTGGATCCCACCTCTGTTCTCCAGAGCAGGTGACCAGAGTGGAGTCGCTGAGCCCGGAGCTGAAAGGGCAGCTGCAGTCCTTGCTGCTGCAGAGACCCCAGCACCTCATCCAGACCACAGGCACTAGGCCCTGCTGGGGTGAGAGGTACCTCCCTGGGCCCAGGACCAACCATCCTTGGGCGGGAGGGTCCCAGGTCTACCCTGCACTTTCCTGGATCAGAAGGGGCCTACCCTCTGATTAGACCTCAATTCAGGATCCATGGGTGGAGGAAGCAGGGGTGACGGTGCAGGGAGAAGAATGGAGGGACTACAATCATAATGGCCAGAGCTCTGTGAAGGGGTGTTCTTGGTAGGCACTGTGCTGAAAGCATTGCACATGTGTCTCATTTAATCTTCACAAGTATCCTGTGCGGTGGTACCACAATAATGCCCATTTTAGTGGTGAGAAAACTGAGGCTCAGAGTGGGGAAGGGTGTGTTCCAGTTTCCACAGCTTGTCAGTGGCAAAGCTGGTCAGGGAACCCTGGGGGACCCATTCCCGAAGCCTGTGCTCCTAATCACTGCGAAATCCTCTTTTAAAGGGTCTGCCCATCCAAGAGAGTCTTTGCACGATGAGGAAGCCCCCCTGAAAGAACAGGTTTGTGGCCTTTCCTTGGGCAGGGCTGGGAGAGAGGTCAGGGATTAACAGGGGCCGACCCCCACTGGACCCCTCATCGGCCCATATCCTGCCAACACCAGCTCCACAAATGCCCACTCATCCTCTGTGTCTTTTCCAACCCCCATCCAGCGTCAGAATGCCCTGAGGCAGAAACTGCCTCCAGGGGCTGAGGCTGCGGCTGTGCTGGCAGGAGAGCTGGGCTTCCTGGCACAGCCACTAGGGGCCTTTGTGCGGCTTCAGGACCCAGTGGTGCTGGGGTCTCTTACAGAGGTGCCCCTCCCCAGCAGGTGAGGCTGCCAGTGGGAGTGAAGGATCCCGGAGCCCAGTGAGGGCCTTGGCTGGGGATGGGATTGAGGGGTGTCTGGTCCAGTTCTCTTGGGCGTGTGGGGGACGGTGCTCAGGGGTTGAAGTGGGTCAGGACTGCAGAGTGGGTGTGCCCATGAGTGTGTGTACGGGGGCTGGTCGGTAGGTCAAAAGTCGAGGCCGCCCTAGGGGACGGCAGCCTCTGACCCTGTCTGAGGCTCAGTTCCTTCCTCAGATTCTTCTGCCTCCTCCTCGGTCCCCCTGCACTGGGGAGGAGCTACCACGAGATGGGCCGGGCAGTGGCTGTCCTCCTCAGTGACCTGGTGAGCTGGACAGGTGTGGTGTGTGTGGACTCTGTGTGCGATTGACTGCAGCTGTGGGGCAGAGTGTGGCTTTGTGTCTGTGACCATGAGGACTGAGGTTTCCTTGGCTACGACTGTAGCCCCCTTACTTAGCACAGTGCTGTGGGACAGTAGGCACCCATGGGTACTCATGGAATGCATGCCTGACTGAACAAATGCTTCAGTGACTGGTCTGTCTAGGTGACTCGTATGTCTAGCTTTTGAGACTATGAAAATGCATATAAGAACCCAGACATGCATTTACTGCCACTCTGTGCCTGTTCCTAGCAATTCCAGTGGTCAGCGCGTCGGGCCAGCAACCTTCATGACCTTCTGGCAGCCCTGGATGCCTTCCTAGAGGAGGTGACGGTGCTCCCACCAGGTCGGTGGGACCCGACATCCCGGATTCCCCCACCTAAATGTCTGCCCTCTCAGCACAAAAGGTATATGGGGTCATCATGCCATGTAGATCTTTCTTTCCCCACAGTCTTGGGTCCAGTTCCACTGCTGAGGAGGAGAGGGGATCCTGGGAAAGGAACAGGGACTTAACCTTGAGTTTGGAGTCCGCCGGCAAGACACGGAGCAGCCACCAGGGGGCAGGGCTCCACGAGGGTGTAGACCAGTGAAGGATCCTCACTCAACCCGGGTTCCCCTTCACCTCAGGCTCCCCTCGCAAATGCAGGAGGTCAAGGGCCCCTCTGCCCCGCGAAGGGCCCGGGCTGAGGACAGGCACGGCCAACCGCAGCACGCGCCCAGCCCGGAGTTGCAGCGGACAGGCAGGTGAGGCGAGCTGGGGTGGCAGTAACGGTGGGGGTACTGGGCGGGGACGTGGCAGAGGGGAGGAGTCCCATGAGCATAGGGGTGTGTTCTCACGGTGAGAGGGGCTCAGGGACAGTAGTGGATATAGGGGCGTGGGGAGTGGAAACCTGTATCATTGACAGCCAATGGGCGGGAGGCTGTTTGGGGGCCTTGTCCAGGATGTGCGGCGGAAGGCCTCGTGGTACCCCAGTGACTTCTTGGATGCCCTGCACCCCCAGTGCTTCTCGGCTGTGCTCTACATTTATCTGGCCACCATCACAAATGCCATCACTTTTGGGGGGCTGCTGGGAGAAGCCACCGATGGTGCTCAGGTGGGTGGGGACGTGAAAGGGGGACAGGCACAGGCTTGAGTGTTCCTCCAGCCAACCCTTTGTCCTTCGCCGGGGCTGTAGGTGGGCTGAGGAGGCTCCCTGGAAGCTTGGGCTCCTGTGGTGGCTGTGCTGGGGACACCAGGGGCCTGTGCTGAGAGCTCCCTGATGGGCTTCCAGGGTGTGCTGGAAAGTTTCCTGGGCACGGCAGTGGCTGGAGCTGCCTTCTGCCTAATGGCGGGCCAGCCTCTCACTATCCTCAGCAGCACGGGGCCAGTGCTGGTCTTTGAACGCCTGCTCTTCAACTTCAGCAGGTGGGACTCCCTCCCCTCAACAGCCTGGTCCTGGCTGAGCCAACAGGGGAGGGTGGATTGGTGTGGCTCTAGGGGCACCTGGCCTGGGTTAGGTGGGGAGCAGAACAGCCCTGCCAAGCCCTGCCTGTCTCTCACCCCTCAGAGATTACAGCCTGGACTACCTGCCCTTTCGCCTGTGGGTGGGCATCTGGGTGGCCATCTTTTGCCTGGTGCTGGTGGCCACAGAGGCCAGTGTGCTTGTGCGCTACTTTACTCGATTCACCGAGGAAGGCTTCTGTGCCCTCATCAGCCTCATCTTCATCTATGATGCCGTGGGGAAAATGCTGAGCTTGATGCATGCCTATCCCATCCAGAGGCCTGGCTCTGCCGCCTACGGCTGCTTCTGCCAGTACCCAGACCCTGGAGGTGGGTGAGGGAAATGGGGAGCTTGGCAGGCGGGGCTCAGAATTCTCCCCCACTCTGATTCCAAATCGCTGAAAATACGTCGACTGAGGAATGCTGACAATACTGATGGAAGAATGTGGTTGTGTTACTGGATGAACGGGCTTCCGAACAATGAAACCAAAACGAGGCCGAGTTACCCACCCGGGCACGCCGCACTGGACAGGGACTGTCTTGCTCCAGAGGAGCCCAGGCAGCTTACTCCAGAGAGCAGGGCATAAAGGGGCAGGGCAGGGTCGGGCACACCCACTTTCTTCTCAAAAAATGCACCAATCACACCAGTCACTGCTCTTCCCCTGGGTCTGGACGACTCACCAGGTGGAGAGGAGCTCAGAGCATTACACTTGCACATATCCCTCCGCAGGGAAGGAAACACCAGGCCCGGGGAAGACGTGTCCTCTCAAGAGCGCCAGGCTCTGTGCCAGGTGCGAACGAGACCAGTTCTGCCCCTGGTGGATGTGTACGCTCATCCACTGCGCAAACGCCTGCTGGGCGTCCGCTCCGGCCAGTCCTGTGCTGGGCGCCAGGGACGCAGGCAGGTAGAGAAACCGAAGGGGCCAGGGCAGGAGGCCGTGTCCTGAGGAGCAGGCAGCATGGTAGCGCTCCGAGTGAGCAGCCGGATGAGTCAGAACCGAGAACTTCCTCGTTCAGCTGGACCCATGAGATTAGGCTCCTGAGGGGCTGGAGAAGGTTCCCAGGGGAGGGACACACACCCAAATTCCTCTCCTCTTCCTAGGAAATGAGTCTCAGTGGACAAGGACAAAAGCAGAAGACAGAGATGACATCTTGAGCATGGTGAGAGCCTGCTTCTGGGAGGGCTTGGGAAACAAAGGGGGGAAGCTAAACAAGTGGCTCCTGGATCTTTCCATCCCACCAGCTAGAGAGACCCTCATAGGCCCCTGAGGCCCAGCCCTTTGTGAGGGCTGGAGAGCCCCTGTCCTGGGCCCTTGGTGTCTCAGGGGGCGTCAGTGAATGTTTGTGCTGCTGCCCAGGACCTCGTCGCTGACCACTGCTCCCTACAGGACCTGGGCCTGGTCAACGCATCCTTGCTGCCTCCCCCTGAGTGTGTCCAGAGGGGAGGCCACCCTCGTGGCCCCAGCTGTCACACAGTCCCAGACATTGCCTTCTTCTCCCTCCTCCTCTTCCTTACCTCCTTCCTCTTCGCCATGGCCCTCAAGCATGTAAAGACAAGCCGCTTCTTCCCATCTGTGGTAAGTGTCGGCTCCCTTTCTGCGGGAGAGGACTAGCTCTTGGCCTTGGGCCCTGCATGTCAATGGGAAGGGCTACAGATTAGGGTGATGGCAGGCCTGAACCTGACTGAGTGTCCACTGTGTGGCTAGGTACGCAAGGTACTCAGCGACTTCTCCTCAGTCCTGGCCATCCTGCTGGGCTGTGGCCTTGATGCCTTCCTGGGTTTAGCCACACCAAAGCTCATGGTGCCCAGAGAGTTCAAGGTGAGAGCTGGGGGAGGGGAAAGCACGGCCAGCAGACAGGACCCTGGAGGAGGAAGATACGTAGATCCCACACTTCATCTCCTCTAAGCTTCTGTTTGCTCACTTATAAAATAGAAATAGTAACAATAATGGCCTCACAGAGTTGTCGTGAGGATGAATAAGATGTTGCTCCAGACACACAGTGAGCGCAGAATGCTCAGGAGCTATGATTATATGTATAGAGTTAAAAAGGATGGGATCCCATCAGCCAGCCCTGGGTTTGAGTTCCAGTTCTGCTACTTCGTATCCATGTGACCTTTAACCCACACTTCTGAGCCTCAGTTTATTCATCTATAAAACGAACAGAATAAATAACAATATATCTTACCCCGTATCTGAGTTTACAGATAATAATGGAAAGCATTTATCACAAAGTACTTATCACAACCAAATGTTAGCTAACTCACTGTGCGTTAGCTATTGACATGGTTCTCCCTAGCCTGGGCACAGCCCTACCCATTCCACGACTCCTCACTCTGTTCTTTGACCCCTGGTTGCCTGCTCTGACCCAGCAAAGCTGGAGCTCCCTCCCTGGGCATGACAGTGCACCGATTTGGCACCTAGACTTTGCCTGTGCATTTGGAGACCTCCCTTCCAGCTTCGTCCAGGACAGGACAGCAGGGACTCCAACTGAGGCAGCCTCAGGGACTCAGAGCCCAAGACTACAACTGGGGCCCTGTCCCCCACACAGACGCTTATAATCAGAGCAGACGCAGACACACCTCGCCCTGCCCCTGCCCCAGGTCAAGGCAGGTCTGAGCCTGAGTTGCCCCACCCTGGCAGTTGAGGGGGGTTCCTAGGGAGGAGTGCTCTGTTCACCAAGAAGTATGGGCAAGCCTCATCTACCTCCTCCTCCCCTGGCAGGGAGGGAGGGGCCCAGAGAAGCAGAGTCCAGAAACCCTGACTTGGGAGTCCCTGGCAGGTCTCCCTCCTTCCGCCCTCTTTCAAGGCGCCGGGATGCTTTGAACCAGCTGTCCATGCACGCGCACTTCTCCCACCTACCATACAGGGTCTTGGTGGGGAGGGCTTGAGGTGAGAGGGGTGTGAAAGTGAGGTGCTCTTGGGAGACCCTCTCCAATCAGTCCATGGACCGTCCTCCCCCAGCCCACACTACCTGGGCGTGACTGGCTGGTGTCATCTTTTGGAACCAACCCTTGGTGGCTAAGTGTGGCAGCCGCCCTGCCTGCCCTGCTGCTGTCTATCCTCATCTTCATGGACCAGCAGATCACAGCAGTCATTCTCAACCGTGCCGAGTATAAACTGCGGGTAAGGCCTGCCAGGTTACACCCTAGGCCCCTGGACCGTGGGACAGAAGCCCCAGGGTGGGTTCTAGGCCTTCCCTCCCCCACCCCCGAGGGCCAGCCTGGGCCAGCTTCATCCTCCTTGCCCCACCACAACCTGCAGAAGGGAGCTGGCTTCCACCTGGACTTCTTCTGTGTGGCTCTGCTGATGCTGCTCACATCAGCGTTTGGGCTGCCCTGGTATGTCTCAGCCACTGTCATCTCCCTGGCCCACATGGACAGTCTTCGGCGAGAGAGCAAGGCCTGTGCTCCAGGGGAGCCGCCCAGCTTCCTGGGCATCAGGTGAGGCCAGCAGTATTCAGGAGGCCGGCATGAGACGTGAGCAGCAAAGTGGGGTAGCAGGGGACGAGGCAGAGTCATTTGGGCAGCTGAAAGTCTAGGCTGGTCACCCCAGAGGGCTCTCTCACTGCCCTGTGAACATTGCAGTGGGGTGGGTGGGTTCTGGGCTCGGAGTGTGTCATGTCAGATCGTCCCTCTCCTCCTCCGGCTGTGGGGCTGGGAGGGCCCTCAGAGGAGCATCGCTGAACTATGGCTGGAAGCAGCCAGGGCTGAGAGAGGGGAAGGTGCCCCCTAATTAACCCCACTCGGTGCAGAAGTGCCTCACTGATGTTACAAAGTAACCATCACAAAAACAATTTTGTAACTGCTAGAAACACAATCTGTCCAAAGTATATGACATTAACTTTGTAAACTGAAATGAAAGTCTTCACCGCAGTGCAAAAATTGCTAATTTTGCAACAAAATAAAAAAAATAAAAATAAAAACAAAGAGCAACTATGACCTTGTGAATTGACGGAGAGGCCCGGGACCCTCCTATTGAAGTACCCTGCCCCTGTACCTCCACCGGTTTCTCACACCAAGCTGAGGCCACCGAGGTCTGTAGTGGTGTCTGGCTTGGGTCTTCAGCCTGGGTGCCCCAGGGGCTCTCCCAGGCCCTGGCTAACTTCCCATCTCCCCGCAGGGAGCAGAGGCTGACAGGCCTGGTGGTGTTCATCCTCACAGGAGTCTCCATCTTCCTGGCACCTATACTGAAGGTACCTTTGTTAGGCAGGCTGGCAGCAGGGGCAGGGTAGCAATAATAAGTGCAAGAACCGACCCTGGCTGAACACTTACTGCATGTTCAGTTTCTCCATACCTGGCCTCATTCAGTCCTCGTGTTCATGTGATGCATATGTCCTTTACAAATGAGGAGCCTGAAGATTAAAGAAGTAGCTTGCAGAGATCACCGAGGGAGCATTTCTCAGACCTGAGAACCCAAACTCTTTCCCAGTGGGCTTTCTCCCCAGTGGACAGGGTGCAGGCATGCCCTGCCCCGCCCCGCCCACCCAGGGGTCAAGCACTGCCCTTGCTCCAGCCTCCCAACAAGCCTTAGACTCAGGGCGTGATCATCACACCCCAGAAAAACTCTGAGGTAAAAGCCTGCCACTTCTCCCTCACCAGGTGTTTATAGAACACCTGCTGTGTGCAAGGCTCTGCTAGGCACCTGGAGAAGGGGGCGGGGAGCACTGAAAAGGAATGTAGAGCCAAGCCTCTGTCAGCAACACACATGCACGAACAAAATTACATAATGAGCAACAGCAGAGAGGTGCGGCAAGCTGGCAGCTGACCTCCCATCTCAGAGGGCGTGGGGATGGCACACAAGAGTCACTGGCAGGAGCACAGAGGTGAGGGGAGGGAAAGGTCACGGGGCCTGGGTGAGAGTGGAGTGGTGGAAAGAGCCGGATGGACCTGATCGGCGGCTTGCTAACTGGGCGACTCTCATTCGGCAGATCCTTACTGAGCTCAGTGCATCCGCCAGGCACTGCCCAGGACTGGGCTGGTAGTAGCCATTAAAAGAGACCATCCACTTCTTGCAGTCTGGTGAGGGGAGACAGACTTAAAAAAATTAAAACCCCCCCAACAAAATAGGGTAATTTCAGAGAGTGAACAGTTACAGGAGGAGTAAAGGAGAGTCAGGCGGTTGGGAGCACCAGGTGTCCACTTTAGATGACCAGGGAAGGCCTGTCCGGGGTCCGAAGATTGAGCAGTGAGAAGTGTGAATGGTGAGAAGGAGGGCCGGGCATTTTAGGTGGTGGAAAGCAGCAAAGGAAAAGGCCTTGCAAGGGGTAGAAGTAAACTTGGGCACGTTGAGGGAAGGAAAAGAGGTCAGGACAGCATGGACAGAGAAAGCAGAGAGGAAAGGGGCAGGAAAGGTTGGAGAGATCAGCCAGGTAAGGGGCGAGTCTCTAAGTCTCTCTGAAACCCACTTTCCTCATCTGTAAAACGGAGCCAATTACCTAATTTACCTCATCTGACTGGTGTGAAGATTCAATGAGATCAGGCCTGCAAAGAGAGAAAGGAAGGGGTAGACCTGGGCAGGCTGAGATGCTGCATGCTGGATGCTGGGGGTGGACCCTAACGTGGGGGACCTGGGCAGCCGGCAGAGCTAAACTCCTTTGCTGGCTCTCCACTTCTTCCTACCAGTTCATCCCAATGCCCGTGCTCTATGGCATCTTCCTGTACATGGGGGTGGCAGCGATTAGCAGCATCCAGGTGAGCCCATCGAAATCACCATGAAGCACCACCCCCTCCTCCTTCCTTTCCTGCTGGGACTCCCTGCCTGCACTTGCCAATTCCTCCCATGCCCTCTTTTCCTGTTTCTGCTGGGTACAGAGACTCTGCTGCCATACTCTGGGCGAGGAGGGGGCCAAGGGCGTCCTCTGTGGAGTTTCAGTGGGTAACAGCGACACTGTCCAGGCCACCCACACGCCCTGCTTCCCTCCTCCTCTTGTTCCCCCAGTTCACGAAGAGGGTACAGCTGTTACTGATGCCAGCAAAACACCAGCCAGACCTCCTGCTCTTGAGGCACGTGCCTCTGAGCAGGGTCCACCTCTTCACAGCCATCCAGCTTGCCTGCCTGGGTCTGCTTTGGATAGTCAAGTCTACACCTGCAGCCATCATTTTTCCCATCATGGTGACTCAGGGTTGGGTGGTATCCTGAGGGTTCCTGGGAGACTTGGAGTCTGGGAGGGTGGCCAAGACCTCCATAAGAGGAAGGCTCTTCTCTCTTTCCTTTTCCCTTGCTCTGCCTCGTTGGGATCCTAGAACAAAGAAAGGGTTGCCCACAGATGGGCTGATGGAACACCTGGTTCAACTTCTTCCCCAGCCTGTTCGGGCTGGTCAAACACAGGTCGGGATATAAGCCCCACTCCCCACCAAAAAAATCTAAGGCCTTGGGAAAGGCGATACTGCTGCTTCTGTTACTTAGGGAGGTGGTAACACAGGTGGCTTCTAGCCTCGTTCCCACTCACTGAGGAAGTTACGAGCCGTGGGCTTGGCGGTAGGACCCATCTGGTTACGACCTCTCTGCCGTGTAACCTCAAAGAAGTTCCTAAACTTTTGGGCCTCACTTTCCTCCTCTGTGTAATGGCGATAATGATCATGTCTATCCCACAGGAATATATTAGCACTCAGTGAAATGACGCACACCGCCCAGAACGCTGGGAGCGCTGAGCAGTTGTGCCTGTCGTTAACGTTCCTACTGCATTGTTCCTGTCCCCGCAGTTGCTGGGCCTGGTGGGGGTCCGGAAGGCCCTGGAGTGGGTCTTCTCACCGCAGGAACTCCTCTGGCTCGATGAACTGATGCCAGAGAAGGAAAGGCGCGCCCCTGAGAGGGGGCTGGAGCCTGAGTACTCGTTCAGTGGAAGTGAGAATGAAGATGTGAGCTCCATGACGGGCCCTCCAAGGAGGAGGGGACGGTGGGGAAAGCACTGTCAGCCAGGAGTTGTCCCTAAAGTCTAATATTTCTATTAAGCCTGAAGACCTTGCCAATATGGTCACTCCCCCTAGCTCTGTATTGACAGAGGCACACTGAAGGGGTGAGGGAAATCTGTCTTCTTAGGGCAGGGGCCCATGGGGGTGGGAAGAGCAGGGGACAGACACAGTTCTAGCGGGCTTTCTAACTCTGGGTCTTTGACGCAATGTGGGTTTATATCCTTTCACTCGCTGGGTTCCTTTCTCTCTGCTGTCTCCGTCTTTTCTCTTTCTTTCTTTCTTTCTTTTTTTTTTTTTTTTTGTCTATTCGAAACTCATCTTGAGACCTCTGTTCCACAGTCAGAGCTGATGTATCAGCCAAAGGCTCCAGAAATCAACATCTCTGTGAATTAGCTGGAGCTGAGTATGAGGTGAGGGTGTGAGGGAAGCCTCCTGGTGTCCAGTGGGGGTGGGGATGGGAGCTCCGAACTAGGAAACTTCTGGTGTGTTGACTGCCCTGTTTTCTCTTCATGCTCCAGTCCTCAAGAACCCGAGTCCAGAAGAGGGTAGAACAGCCTCTCCAGAGGGAAGAAAAAACAAATGAGAGGACCTGGGCATGGCTCCCCGAGGCACTAGAGTATGGCCAGTAGAGGGAGCTCAATCTCATACCAAACTGAGTGGAATTTGGAGCGGGGGCGGGGAGGGGGGGGGAGAGAGGGACGAAAAGACCGAAGAATGGGAAAGAGAGGGGAGGAGGGCAGGGAGGACGAACTTCTCGGCTGCTTTCCTTTGCCTTCGGAGGCTCTGCCCCAGTCTCCTGAGAACCACACTCCAGCCCAGCGGAGGGATTCTCTGTCACTTGCCCTCTTTGCTATTTTTTTTTCATTATATTCATCCACTTACCAAACAGCTTCTGTTTTGATAAGTACTAGAGATTCAGTAGTTAAGACAATCATGGTCCCTGACCTTGGGAAGTGAAAACCCCAGTGGGAAGGACAAACAAGCAACTTGCTGGAGTGGGGTCGGGCAGGCTGTGTGAGCAGAGAGAGGCCTCTAAGCCCTGCTTGGAGGGCAGTGGAAGCGGGGTGGTGGGAGTTGGGGAGCCTACCAAGAAGAAGTGGTCTCCTTCTGACTGGTGTGGTCGGGTGTCATCCAGCAAAGGGTCCTCGGTCCGACCACTGGTCAGGGCCTGGCCCTGCATGTGAGAAGCAATCAATCGATGTCTCTCACACAGCGATGCTTCTCTTCCATCCTTTCCCCCACCCTTCCCCTCTGTCTAGAAATGAATAAATAAAATCTTTAAAAACCCCAGAGGAAATGGTCTATAACTTGAAATCTGAAGAATTAATAGAAGCTAGACAGGACAAGCTGAGGGCACAACATATACGAAGCCTGGAAACTGCTTCCCCGTGAGCTGAACACTCCTTCGGGCCACAGAACACCCTCTTCTCCATGCCTTTCAGAGCCCAAGAAAGAGCTCACCACCGCAATAGAAAATTCGGGGACTATGGGGAGATTCAATGGCTGGCCCAGAACAAGATCTCCTAGGCTTTCCTTACCCCCTATCAGGCTTTTCTCTACTTTGTGCCCTACTATGTACCGGGGCACCTGCTAGGACCCCACAATGTCTTCTCTCAGTCCATAGGTGTTCACTCTGGAAGTCAGGATGATGTTTGCCCTGGCTTTACTGCCAGATGCTCCGTCAGCTGCGAACCCGGAACAATGGTTCAAGGCTGGAAGGCAGCTGGCCAAGACCTCAGTCACCCTCCCGAGCTGGGGTGGAGAGCAGCAGGGAACAGGCAGGTCTGCTCTGGGGTTAGGAAAGGCTGGTGAGCTGGAGGACTGACCAAGTCCCACTCACACTCTACCCGACCAGGGTACCTGAGTCCAGAAGCCCTTCCCATTTTGAGCTTATCCTCACAAATCCTCATTTACAGGATTGAAGGGTTGTAGGGAACTCTTCACAGCTTGCAAAAGGGAGACAAAGTCCCTCTTTCTAAAATAAATATTCCTCTATTTGAAACTGTTTTTTTCCCAAACAAAAACACAGAACTGTATAATTGTGAAATGGAAACCATCCTAGAGATAACCAGGTTCACACTTGAGGGTAAATTGTTTATTTTAATTTCAATGGACACATTAATATTTTTATTAAAATGGAGTTACACTGTCGAGTTCTTTAACATGCTTGTCACTGAATACACATTGGATATTTTCCCCATGTCGGTATATATGTCTATATATCTACCTCATTCTTTTTTGTCATCTGCATAGAATAAATAACCTTTACATTGAAGGAGATATCATATATACAAAAGGATATATAAATGTCTTTGGAAAATGCAAGAATTTCTCCAGGGTCTATACCCAGGTGTGAAAATAAAGAGTGATGATAAAAAGAACACTTGTGTGTCCAACACTCATATCATGAACTAGGGTATTTATTTCTAGTCCTTCAGAAGCCCCTCTGAATGTTCCTCCCAGATTCCATCCCCAATTCCAGGTAAACGCTATCTAAATTTTATGCTAATTATTTTCTTGCTTTTCTTTGTAATTACACATCCATTTCTCTATATATTTTTAAAATATTTTATTTATTTATCTTTAGAGAGGAAGGGAAGGCAAGAAGGAGAGAAACATCAATGTGTGGTTGCCTCTCGTGAGTCCCCTGCCGGGAACCGGCCTGCAACCCAGGCATGTGCCCTGACTGGAAATCGAACCAGGGTCGTGTGGTTCGCAGGCCTATGCTCAAACCACTGAGCTTTCTATATTTTTATGTATTTATTATTTGGTCTATTCATGACTGCTATATAAATGGAATCATAGTGTATGAATTCTTTGGTGACCGCTTCTTCCTTCTTCACTCAACATTGTTTGTGAACAAGTCACGTGGATGCAGGCAGCCATGGTTTGTTCATTTCCACTGCTGTGTTGCAGTCCGTGGTATGACCACCACAGTTTAATTACCCATTCTTCTGTCCACTCACTGGCAAAGCCATCTGAATCTGGTGCTCGCTTTGTGGAAAGTTTAAGATGATTCAAATTCTTTGATGGTTATAGGATTCATTTTAAGAAGTAAAGACTTCATTTTTTTTTTATCAGTTTTAGGTTTGTACAGGATTCTCAGACTCTATTTCTTCTTTAGTCAGTTTCGGTAAATTGCATTTCTCTAGGAATCTATGCATTTCATTTTTCATATTTATTGGCATTTAGCTATTTAGATATGGTTCCTTTATTATTTTCAATATTATCGTACATTCCATTTTTTGTTCTTGGTTACTCTTGCCTGAAGTTAGTCTATTTTACTAGTATTTTCAAATTGCTAACTTCTGGCTTTATTGATTTTCTCTACTGAATATTTTTCTATGTTGGTAATTTCTTCTATTATTTCCTTTCATTTTCTTTTGGTTTAATCTGTTGTTTTTCTAACAGCTTAGATCATTATTTTGAGCCTTATTTCCTCCTCCCCCTATAGCAGTGAGCACCACCTCTCCTTCAGATGACTCCCTTATCTGCACCCCACGGTTCCGATACAGTGCTCTCATACCTGTTGCTTTCCGAGTATTTTTTAACTTTTACATGATTTTTCTCTTTGAGCCAAAAGATAAGTGCATTTAAAATTTTCCCAAATATATATATATTTCCCTTTAATTATCTTTCTGTAACTGATTTCTAACTGAATTGCATTTAGAGATTTGTGGGGCTAACTTTATGGTCTGGCATTTGGTCATTTTTTTGTAAATGTTACATGTGTGCTTGAAAATGTTTATTCTCCATTTTCTGGAACGGTTTTCAATCTATTTCTATCAGGCTAGCCTAGTAATTGTACTGTTCAAAATGTTCTATATATTTCATGCCTTTTTTTGATCTGTTTAAACTGTCAAATAACAAATAGGGATATATGTTAATATACCTATTGTGATAATGAATCTGTCAACACCTCCTTGTAAATCTGTTAACTTTGCCTTTATTTATTTATTTTTTTATTATTATTATTTTTTTATTGATTATGCCATTACATTTGCTCTATTCCCCCCTCCCCTCCACCCTGCATACCCCTCCCCCACCATTTCCCCCTTTAGTTCATGAACATGTGTCTCAAATTCTTTAGATTCTGTATTTCCCCTACTATTCTTACCCTCCCCCCCTATCTATTTTCTATCTACTGTCTGTACTACTTATTTTCTGTACCTTCTCCCCCTTCCCCTCCTCCCACTCCCCCTATTGCTAACCCTCCATGTGATCTTCATTTCTATGGTTCTGCTCCTGATCTAGCTATCCTCTTAGTTTGCTTTTGTTTTAGGTGTGGTTCTTAATAACTGTGAGTTTGCTGTCCTTTCACTGTTCATCTTTTTTATCTTCTTTTTCTTAGGTAAGTCCCTTTAACATTTCATATAGTAAGGGCTTGGTGATGATGAACTCCTTGAATTTGGTCTTATCTGAGAAGCACTTTATCTGTCCTTCCATTCTAAATGAAAGTTTTGCTGGGTAGAGCAATCTTGGTTGTAGGTCTTTGGATTTCATGACTTGGAATACCTCTGTCCAGCCCCTTCTTGCCTGTAAGGTCTCTTTTGAGAAATCAGCTGACAGTCTGATGGGAACTCCTTTGTAGGTGACTGTCCCCTTAGCTCTTGCTGCTTCTAGGATTCTCTCCTTCATTTTAATCTTGGCTAATGTAATTATGATGTGCCTTGGTGTGTTCCTTCTTGGGTCCAACTTCTTTGGGACTCTCTGAGCTTCCTGGATTTCTCGGAAGTCTATTTCCTTTGCCATCTTGGGGAAATTCTCCTTTATTATTTGTTCAAATAATTTTTCAACTGGTGGTTGTGCCTTTCCCCCTTCTGGTACCCCTATAATTCGGATGTTGGAACGTTTAAAGATGTCCTGGAGGTTCCTAATCTTCTCCTCATTTTTCTGAATTCTTATTTCTTCATTCCTTTCTGTTTTATCATTTTTTTCTTCCGTCTGGTTCTCTCCCTTGATTTGAGTCCCAATTTTCTTTCCATTTTTATTGGAATCTTTTGTATCCCCATTCATTTCAATTAATTTAGCTTCCATATGTTTCTCTAATTTGTGGCTAAAGTCAACCAGTTCTGTAAGGATCTTTATAACCAGTGTTTTGAACTGTGCATCTGAAAGACTGGCTATTTCTTCATCACTTAGGTCTATCGGTTCTGGGGCTCTGAGTTGTTCTAGAGCCATTTTTGGTCTGTTCGCGCTGTTAAGTGAGCGGAGCGAAGCCTTAGTTGTTTACCAGGACCGGGCGACCCAGGTCGCTGGTTTGTGACGCTGTGTGTGGGGGCGGGGTCAGAGAAGGAGCAATGGCGTTCCTCGTTCCTCTCCGCTAGCCCAGAGCATCCAGTCACACACACAAACGCCTCGGGCTTGCTTATCCGATCCTAATTTTGCGAGCCTGCTGCACCGCGCTCGGGTTTCCCTTCTCACTGGTTTCTCCGCACGTAACTGCGCGCGACCGACCGACCCACCGCGCCTCTTCCCTATGCGCTCCGCAGCCAGCTCGCTGGCGATCAGCCCTCGGTTGCCGCCTGCGCGCGCCGCGCCACCGCCGCCCGGGAATTTTTTCTTGCTAACCTGCTCCGCTTCTGGTCTCGCTCCTTGTACCGTTCCAGCCGAGTATCTAGTTGTCCTTTGGACTCCGTATTGTTGATTTTCCGTATAGCTTGGTTGTGACTGCTGTTAAAAATAGTTGTTCTTAGATTTGGTTGTGCACAGAGGCGAGGTGGACCCTCCACCTACTTCTCCATCTTGGCGGAAGTCCTTATTTATTTTTTTTAAAGCTGTGTTATCAGGTGCTTTCTAGTTTAAATTATTCTATCTTCTGGGTTAATTGATCCTTCTGCTATTATGTAATGGTCTTACACTGTGGTGACCTGTAATGATCTCTGCTTAAAAGTTATTTGGTCTGCCTGGCTGGTGTAGCTCAGTGGATTGAGTGCGGGCCTGCGAACCAGACAATCGCGGTTCGATTCCCAGTCAGGGCACATTCCTGGGTTGCAGGCCAGTTCCCAGCAGGGGACCCATGAAGGCAACCATACATTGATGTTTCTCTCCCTCTCTCCTTCCCTTCCCCTCTAAAGATAAACAAATAAAATCTTTAAAAAAAAAAGTTATTTGGTCTGCTAGCAACATAGTTAAATCAGTTTTCTTTTGGTTAAAATTTACCTATATTATATATTTATATTCTTTGAATTTTAGTCTTTCTGTGTTCTTATTTTTAGGTATATCTACTATAATCAGCACATAGTCAGATATAGTTGTTTTTTTTAAATCCAATTTGACAATCCAAATTAGTTGGAAAACTTTTAGTTGGAGAACTCAGTACATTTACATCTATAGTAATTACTAATATATTTTATTTTGTTTTATTTCATTTTTCTATTGTCCTGTTTTTCTGTTTCTTTTCCCTTTTTGATTTTTCTTGCCTTATTTTGGATTGATTGAGCTATTTTTGTCTTTACTTTTCCACTTTATCCTCTCTATTAATTTGGAATATGAGAAAAAGGGAAGTCAAGAATGATTCCAGTGCTTTTGGCCTAAGCAACGAGAAGAAAGGAACTGCTACTCACTGAGTTCATATCGGGGCATTTTAAATACAATGCCTTTTGGTTAATATTGGGGCATTTTAAGTATGATGACTTTTAGATAATTAAGCAAAGATGTCAAATAGGCAGCTAGACCTGCAAATCTGAAGTTCAGGGGACAGGTACGAATCAGAGACAAAAATGTGTAAGCTTGTTGGATCTCAATTATATTTAAAACAGACTAGATAAGGTTGCCAAGGCTGTGGATGAAGTTAGAGACGTAGGCACCAAATCTGGGAACCCTCCAATGTGAAGAGTTAGGAGGTCGAACAGCAACCAGGAAAGGAGGAGCCTGGGAGTGCGGACCGACACAGAGGCCAAAACCAGGAGAATATGGTGTCATCCTTGAAATAAAGGAAATGTTTCAAGGAGAAGTATTTCTGGTTACTGTTTGCTTTGGAGTCATTCGAACTCCTTACTTCTATGCCAGTTCATGTAAGTATTTAAAGTTAAAAATTATATTTAAATTAGCATCTTATTGTTTTAATTAGGAGGTTGTTCAGAAATTTAAATCTATACAATGACAAAAATAGAAATTCTGATGGCCCTTTTTAGTGTTATAAAGAAGGATCTAACATGATAGTCTAAGCATCTACTACTGACTGAGAGAAATACATACCAAAAGTATTATTTAAATTTAGATAATTGCACGGTTACTTCAACAGCATCTACACATTGTCGAAAATATCTTCCTTTAGATTTGCTTATTTATACAGTCAACAAATACTTACTGAACATGGACAATGTCTTGTCAGGTAAGGTTTTTGACTTCATGGAGCTGACATTATAGTGAAGGAGAGAAGTGATAAGCAAAAAAATAAAATAATCTCAGATTATGCCAGTTACTCAAAAGAAAATAGAACAGGGTAATGATAGGAACTGGGAAAAGACATTATTAAGATGGATGTTTGGGGAAGGCCTCTCTGGGTAGGTGTCCTTCAGGTTGAGATCTGAGTGATAAGGAACCGGGCAAATTATCATGTCTGCAGTCAAGGCGTGGTAGACACATATATGAATTTAAGTGCCCTGCTGTCCTTGGATGGGGAACCCCTGTCATAAGGGAAAGAGTTTCAGGTCACTACTGCCTTCAAACTTAGCTCTTAGCTTGCTTCGTTCAGGCCATGTGAGCCTGAGATATTCCTTTTCCGGCACTAACTCATAGGCTTCAGTTTTCTGTCAGTAAAACA